ATTTGTGGCAATAGTAGACCACACAGCGGTACCCGTATCAAATACACTTTTTGGGGGGAAGAACGTGTTTCCTTGAGTGCCTGATATTCATGGGGAACGCAGCGCGATCTGAATACACTTGAATATAGGTTACGTTCGTTGCAATACACGGCCGATGGGTGCTTTAAATGGAGACAGAAAGCTATAAATATTTATCAATGAAGTTATGTGTTATGTTAAGATGTGCCCATTTACTTCGGTGCTCGATGGGAAAACAATAGACTCTCTCTCTCTCTCTCTCTGTCTTTACATATATATAACTTTGTATAAATCCTGTATAAAATAAACAAAATGTTGTTATATTTTTATTTACCCTTTGCACATGATGGTTAAGACAACGTATCAGTGGTAGTACCTTTAGGCCATAATAGTCTATAATCTATAAATTATTAGGTAGGCTTCGCTATTCAGCCAAGTACATAAGTGTTTCACGTATTACATGAAGGTTTGTGAAACCAATTTATTCAAGGTCACGTTCGCGTCCAGACCAAGAAATCGTCCGAGCGGCAGGCACTCTAATCGCTGCTTAAGGATTGCATCTTTTTCTTTTTTGTTTGAATATTTTCACGCTAACCGCACGGTCTCATTAATAAATTCGTTTGTTAAAAGTCTAAAACAAAAACAGTTTCTAATTTCCCAAAAAAAAAAAGAAACGTTTCTAAACGTATTAATCGAATCATTAGACCAAATACTATCACTTCCTAGGATCTCTGCTGAACAGACATTTATCAGTATTAACAGGACACCCACTTTGAAACGATGCTTTCCAACTATCTTATTTTATTTGCGGGGCAGTAATTAGAATGCATAAGATAAAAACTATTTCTATAAAGACTCTTTGTCAGCCAGCAAAACAGTAGGCGGTGGTTTTATGCCCACCTGTAGCTAAATGCTATTGAATACTAAAGTTACAGTTCAACGATTGTATTACTACAAACGAGCATTAACAATGAGATGAACTAGTATGTCGTATAATCTAAGTAAACATTATAAGTGTTCTAAATAAAATACATTTACCTTATCGTAGAGCAGACTTGCCTTGTTTTGAAAACATGGCTTTACTGCCAATAGACCAGCAAAGGTGAATGCGTCCTTTTACGTCCGTGGTTATTTCGAGTGGCTAGATCTCGGCCTGCAAAGCCCTCCTCGAACAAGCCCATAGATTTCACATTGATTAGCAAATAAACAAATTGACATTGACACCATGGCAGTATCGGCCGACTTACGGTCACCGTAAGTGAGTGGAATAAAGCATAATAACCCATCCACCCTAAATAGAGTGAGCGTGTTTGCCCTAATGATTTAAGACCGCTCTATTGATGATCTATTTTTTTAAATTGCATAATTATTGGAAATATTTTATAATATTAGTGCACGTGTACGCATAGATCAACGTGGTGACGCCACACAGCGTACTACGTCCACTGATAACCATTACAATATATTTCAACTAATACGGGAGTCTGCGTGAGGTCGAATAAAGAACATGCTACCGATTCTTACACACGATACTGGCATCTTCCCAAAAACAAAAGCAGCCCGAACAGATGTGGTATTTAATGGTATGGCTATGATGTTGCTGGGGTAGAAAGGACGACTATGAGACAGGCAGATATGGACACGCAAGCTGCGAGCACTCAAACGGTAGAAAATAGAAAGAAATGAAAAGTGCGTACATTGAATCGATTCGATCGTGTCCGCGCAGTTTACCATACGTTAGACGGCTGCGGTTTGTGCCTATTTCGATGTCAACTAGTTCTAGAAATGCTGAACGAAATACCGCAGAGTTACCCCGGCGACTGACTTTCTGATCGACTGCAAACGTTACCAGTAGCAGCACAAGATGTAACGATTATCTGTGATCAAGCACAATCGATAAACGCGCAAGATGGCGCTACGATCGTTGTAAGTAAGCTGGCTGAGTAACTGTTCGACAATCGGGTAACGCTGAGCGGAACGGAAGCGACATCATAAGCTTTTCAATGGTCATCGAACAAACGCCGCTGTACGGGTAGACACTACGATGTCTATTAACGAATTAGTCACTGCTTTGAGAGGCCAATCTCTGCGTGACACAGTTAGTTAAATGTAACGACAGTTCGGTAAACGTGGTCCACAGTTCTTTGTTTTCAAGAACGACGTTGTCTGTTTCGAATCGTAGAAGAGAGATAACCGTGTACGACTGAATAGCCCACAGTATCAATCAGGATACCGTGACAGGATTTGGCAGCGACGGTGTTTTCAAGGTGAAAGCCAAAACAGGATGTTTGTATCGGAATATCCTCCATCAAAACGTAAAAATCTGTAATTGAAACCCTATCGCAATAAGTAGTCCATGTCTGAATGTGATAATACGTTATTCGATAATTTTGAAATGTTTTGTTGTTCCTTGCGCTCAGACAGAGTCGCCTACATATGCGTTTTGTTTCTAAAAACTTCTCTATCGAATCGGACAAGTTACCACTGTAACAGCCTTGTTCGTTTGTACGCTAAATGCCTCGAAGCAAGTTAAAGCGTGATAAGCTAAACATCCCCTCAGCTTCGTTGTAACTTCGTTGTAGTTACGTGCCCGGAATGGTCCTCGTGCTATTGTAACGAGTACCGCTGTCGTTGTCATCATAAAACAAAAAATCAAATTGCTTAATTAACACGCTTCAGTTATGTTCTACAATTTGTAAGTAAGCGTTCATCATCTCAACCCAGTTAACTCCGCAGACGTCATACGCTTGATGTGTTTTTTTTTTCGTGTAGGACCTGTGTATTTAGTGATGAGGGAACAGACGAAATTGCGACTAGTCATGAAATTGCCACCTTCGAGTGGCAAGGAAACGCAATGCGAAATAGCCGAAGTGTCTGCTTTGTGTGTTCTTGCCCCCTTCGCCCCATACTACGGACGCATTACCACCGAGGTTCAAAGGGCTATCCCTGGTATTAGCGCGTGAATCCAATGCTTTTACGGGCAGTTCAGCTTTTGTTGACGATGCCACGTGCACGGCACCAAACGAAATGATGAGTGTTCGTCCACTTGACAATGGCTAAGTGGAAGGTGACGACACTCAAAGTCCGACTCAAATAACAGCGCCTGACAGGTCCAGCAACAAAAGTCGTCGTGACGTCTGTTCAAGTCAAAGTAATTTGCGACGATCCTAACTTTACTATAGCAGAAATCGGTCAGAGTGACTTATCTAAATAACGTATTTTGCCTGCCATTGCAAACCCTAACCGCCGAAAAAAAGGACGCAGACTATTGTGCATCTCGTAGTGACGAATCGCTTTTGTGCGAGATGCACATCCGTCCGTGCCTCCGGTGTGGTAAGACTTATTGTTGTTGTCAAGGCAAGAAAATTTCTCAAGTGCTGCTTTTTTTCTAGTTAACATTGTTGGTTGATGCCGCCTTCACGTAATAAGATATCGGGTGTATATTACTTTGTCGTATTATCATACTGACCTGTAGTTTAAGGCTGCCCTGTCGGGATCTGCAGACACACGCTATACGTTAACTAAACAGATTACGTTGCTGTACCCGTAACGATATCGACCAAAAACCTATCTTCATTGTATAACAGCCCTTAAAATTAGACGCGGACCTGACTGGTCATGAGTCAGGTCCGTTTGAACTATCTGAACCTATATTATATACTGCTATAATGAATACGATTTAGCTAGACGTCAGTGTACCTCGAAGGGTCGAATTGAGATTCAGCTTTATGTAAATTCGTCGATAATAGAAAGAGGCGTTAAAATGTATTGCTGACTCTTCACTCTGACTGTACAGCGTATTATTCATAATAAAATCACGAAATCGGTCCTGGTGTGACGAGCAATTCGCAGAAATAGAAATCGCGTATAGAAATATAATACCAAGATAGAAGCGGGGTCTCAATACTGCTATGCTGAAGTAAACTGAAGCTCCGTGGTGAACATTTATCCTTGTTTCCCTGTTGGATCATCATTAACAGCAATACAAGCACGTTTATGTGGCGACGATTACCTAATAAAAAAAAAAAATATGTTATTATCTGTTATGTTCAATGCTTATTAGCGCTAGCTTTGAGTCTGTGTACCACCGTTCATTGTACAAATCTATTCTTGCAGATTGAAGGCTGTTCAAATAGATTGACCCTATCTGGGACAAAGGGGTTAAATGATTATTGTACAAATTTGACAAATTTCTCTCTCACGATCCCAGCTCATCGAGCTCTTCCCCTTATATATACGTTGAACGGCAAATAGTATATGTATGTCGCTAGGCGAAAAGAGTCTGGGAAAGATTTAAGAAATGTAGCCAGAAACTACAATTGCTAAATTCTAGAATATTCAGTTCTTATGCTTTCTAGTACGTAGGGAAACGCATGTAACACGTTGGGGTCGGCCGATCGATCACATTGGAGATCCTAATGGTTCTCAGCAGTGGATTCCGCGTTTAGTCACGAACTAGTCCTAGAAAAAGCCTTAGAAGCAATATCAATTTATTACTTACTAAATAATGCCATCGCCGAAGCATTTAATATCTGCAGTCGTGTTAAATGACAGTTCGTCAAACGATAGCAGATCTTGAGGCAAATATGTCATGAGCGGCGGTATGTTCCTTTAAAGTTGAATTTTTCTATGAATAGTATATGAATCTATATGTTATTCGTGCTTCAATGTTCGAGTAACTTAACCAACAAAGTACTTTTGAAAACAATTCAGCGAAACCCACTTATTCTGGCCGTTTGACCTCTGTCTGTTGACCACTTATTATGTGACTTCTTTTGTAGCTTTCATAGTTGACAGACTAAATGTGTTATATCTAAACACCTATTAAGTACTTGCCTTTAAACACCGAAAAGTGCGTGAAAAATGTTTGCATTGTGTGGATAATCAAATTGACTGGCTTTGATAAAAAGTATGCTGTATCGAAGTGTAACCTGTTTTCGATCGTTGCGTATATCTGTCGTTCTATTTGTTTATAATCGCAGGATGCTGCTGTGGTTGTATGGGTCGGATGCCATTTGCGACCTTAATCGCAACGCTCATGTGCTGCGCGGGGGTTGGCGTGTTCCTGTTTGCGATGCACCGTGGACTCACTGCAACGATCAAAATGTTCGAAGTCGTGTTCCAGTACCGGATGTTGGGGTACGCTGTTTCTTTTCTCTCTCCGTTTTTGCGCAATATCGAAATAGTGACAAGAATAATTTCGAAGCTTTTTTCTATCGCTATTGTATTTCACTAGCAAACAATGGTATTGCGCATTTCGATGCCTAATAGCATTATAAACCGCTAGCATAGATAAATTCTATCACGATCAATTTCGGTCTGTATTCCCATAAATTTGTATAGGATATTTGATTGGGAAACATGAGGTAGACACCTCGTGTACGTTCGTCGAGATAGAGGTAGTTGCTGGATTCGAAATGTATCTTTGAACCTTATAGAGTCGTTGAGTATTGGTCGAAATATTTTATTTGATAAACTAGCTTCAGAAGAGCCTAACACTAACGTCTGCGTTCAAAATTTATCTCTACAGGGTATGAATAAGCACAAATCTAATATACGACCATAGATCTAACTAGAACACCTGTCGTCCATAATAACAATAACTCCTGTAAATCTTTTTAACAATAAAAGCATTAAACAGTTAAGCCACTAGGCACTTCCGACTCACCATCGTCTTGCTGAAAATCGAATCATTCTATTAACTAGATTTATTATAGAACAGGCTTCTTTATCAAAATGAGCCAACGCAAATGTGTCAATTTTTTGCCTCTTGCAATTTCCTCAATGGCTTAGATTGTACTGTTTCTTCATTCTTTTATCCTGCGTTTTCAAGCTGCCGCTCTGCACGCACACATACACATACACACAATTACACATACGCACACAGCCTATCGCACCGCTGTCTAAACCTTAGAATTCGTGCGGTTGTTCTTTTGTGATCTTGCGTCGTTACATTTTCTCTATTTTGTCGACTTCGTCCGCTTAACTTGATCCCCTTGCATCCCACTCCACGCTGGCCAACCGGTAGAACGACACACGTCAGGTGAGTTGCGTTTGTCTAGGTTTCAGGTCAAGAAAGCAAGACATTTTTCAAAAAATGTCAGCTGTACCGAAGATGAGCATTGATTCTCCTACAGAGTTTAAAATGTAGCTGTCAACCCACGCGTGAGCTTATCGTATATCCTTTCCGTTACGGAGTAGAAAAGGCCTTGTGTGTATATAACCATTCCCAGTGGCTAAAGTGCTTTGGGAAGGCTTTCATTTAAGTCTCATTTTAGTAGCGCGTTGCTTCTATTTCTTATCCGCTGTAGCTGGCCAACAAGCTCTTACTTGAACTGAATGCGCTTTATTAAACGAAACAAAAGTGGTATACAAAGTATGATTACTTGTTTTATACTGCCATCGGTAGCATTTTATTACACTATAGAGCACAAAGTTCACCATATAACTAACAAATGCTAACTGCCGCTTGTTGAACCTGAGCTTTGTGCGCATATCCAGGACGTTAGCGGGAGACTGCCTAGTCGGAACATAATCGCTTCTATTACACACACATATATGTATATAGATCCTGATAATCTCTGGTGGCTACTGTCATATGTCTAGCTAAGAAATGGTTAACATACAATATAACCCTATAACTCGTCGAACTGCAAAGATGACTCCCTAATAGTGTTTAAATTTGACGCTTTTAACATCGACACACTCATATCGCATTGTCGTTCGGGGATCGTCGCATAGACTCCAAGACCTTCAAGTAGGTTTTATCGCAGTCGGAGCTGGAATGGGTATGCTGGCGCTTCTGATCCTGCTGATAGGCTGCCTGAGCACCGGTTCGACGCGGACCTCCGTCTACAAGGACTGGAAGGCGAGAGCGGGAGGTCGGTTCACTTGCATTTTCCTGATGACCTTTACGTATTTACTTAAGGTAAGCAAAGTATTCTATTTTGCATTACCATTCTCAAAAAAATAAGATGGAGTAATGATAGAAAACAGAGCTCGTTTGCAGGGCACTTATATTGCTATTTTGCATGACTATTGTTTTTACTAATAAATTGAAGCCTGCAATGAAAGATACCCGTCACCAAAGTATTTACTTAAATTTTATTACAGCTTTATTAACGACATCCACTTTCATTGTATCAAATTTATATAATTACCGTGCGCTAGTGTCAGTGCCCAACAAACATACCGTTATACTGACGAAAGGGCGCTACTTCGTATACCTGAATTATTGCAGGCCTACACTGCGTCTACATCGTGCATATTCATTTACTCTTACTTGTGTGTGTTCTTATTTTAGCTCACGTGGATATTCATCTGCGTTTCTATGGCTATCATATCTTTTGTATTTTTCTGCTGGACGGGTATGTGTAATCGGCTTAAGCCCACAAACCTTGACCTCAACAAGCAGTGCATCGATCTCAGACAGTTTGATTTCCTCCTGCCTGAGGTGTCACGTGAGCATCAAAACATCTGCAATGAAGGCAAAAAGAAAGAGTTTTGCCATGACTACGTAAGTACCATAGTACTAACTGGGTCATACGAAGATTTTCATGGTACCAACTAATAGAGCTAGCTACAACGAATCTATGATAAAGTGACATAAATCGGCTATAATATGAAAACTAATTGAGTATGTTCGTTCCATCGGGAAATATTTTTCACCGTTGATTTTTTCCTACCTCTTCTTTCTCGTGCTTTGTTCTATTTTTTTTTTAGGTGGAGAGCGCGTCGCTCATGTATTATATTGCTACCGGGGCCGCTGTCGTTGTACTGATCAGCCTCATTCATTACCTCATGTGTTTGTCGGCCAACTATACGCGCATCAAGGACCAGGCCAAAATCGCGGACTTGCAGATCCTTAAAGAGTTGGACGAGAACGAGATGGGGCCCCTTGGGGCAAAGGGAAATGTTAGCAGATACTGATGAAAACAAGCGGGCAAGAATAACAGCAACGATAATACTAATTACATCCACCACCGCAAGACCGCTGTAAAACAGGCAAAAAAAAAATCATAAACACATTCAGCATTACACCCATTTAGAAAAATAAGTAAGTAATATTTTATGGTGCGCTATGAATCAATGTTGCGCGCATGAAGATCGATCATTGACAGACGTCTCTCATCTGCAACCATATTCGTTGTCTAGGCTACAATCAGCATCAAGTAATTACTATCATTTTTGTCATGCATTGTGCGCATAGATATTTATTCGCTTGCTAATCCAAGTCAATGCCCTGGCACGTCGAAGATTCGTGATACGGAGTACAGGGGGTGACAGTCATACTAAGCCACTGCGGTTGCCACTGTGTATAAGTGAACGAACGGCGCAGTGTCCTTTATTCAGCCAACAATCAATTCATCAACATTCTGATAGCAGCATATTCGATCCCTGATCACGAACGGTCACGTTTATTCCTTCCTTGTTCATATCATCTAACTGATGCATTTCTATTGCATAATTGGAAAACATACTATACTACTTTATAAACTTCCACTCGAGGCGTCATGTATCTGATTATACTAGCATTCTGCTTTATGTCGAATCGGACAGACACGTTCCCGCACAGACAGGAACGTTCTACTCAGATCACAATATGTAGTACCAGCGGTAATGAGTGAAGACAACCCTTATTATCCGGCGTAATTACGAAAAATTACAGAAAAGAAAAAGGAATAGTGCTATTTTTGTAATGTCACCTGATTTGGCAGCTATATATGATAATCACCACAACAACAACAACAACAACAACAATGCTAGTTGTTGTTGTTGTTGTTGTTAGAATTACGTGTAAAAATAACCCTTGTCGTATCCAGAGGTGGCTGACAAGAAGGAAATCCACTGTTCTATTAGCACTGTGGCACCGTTGCACTACGTTGCAACATTAGCGATTTTCAAAAAATTGGCAACATCGTTAGCATTTGCCCTCGTCGTCTGCTACAGTCAGTTGCAATCTAATTCGAACATTGTTTACATGTCTGCATGAACGGATATCCACGTTTTCGCCGACCAGCCCCTAAGTAGACAGTGCAAATATGGTGAATAACAGCTACAGAGGTAAACATACAACAAGCAAAAGTTGTTTCGCTCATGTCGTTTTCCAAACCGTTTTACTGATACCAGGACGATCCTGAAGCGCAATACAATGATCGTACAACGCCTCGAAGGTCAGGTGTGGCAGATATTAGGTTGAAAGATATTTTTCCAGCCCAAGCAGTGCAAGACCACGAACGTCTCCTCACGACTATTATAATCTAGACGCCGAATTTTCTCTGGCCTGTTTGTGATGTTCATGAATATAAAGGAAAAAACTTTCCGTCTCTTTGTACTATTTCAAACGGAATACGTGCTTGATAAAGAACGCTGACAAAGGTGATAAAATGCTAAACGAATGGTGCGAATAAAGATAAATAACTTTATTTACTCGCACAGATTGTGTAGTATATGTCGTTCAGCGGCGACTCGTGCTCTTTTTCAACGAGAAATTTGTCCCTCTAAGCCATCGGGTCGACCGGCGTCTATAACTGAGAATAAAAAATGCATTATTATTTATAGCGAATACTGCTCGATTTGCGGCGTCCGTCTCTAGCTCCTGTTATAAGCATATGTAGCTATAAGAATTCCATGGAGGTTGTTGCCCTTTCTTAAACGGGGTTTTAGGTCGTCAAGCAAACCTCTTGAATGATTTCGAGCCTTGCTTTTAGTACAGCCCTACGCCAATCCCAAGTAAGATTTTTTCTTGAAGAAATTGTCAATTGAGAAGCGTTTTTATGTTTTTCTTTCTCTCTCTTTCTCATATATCTATATATATATATATATATATATATATATATATATAGGGGAAAGTTTTTGTCTATATATATAGAGATAGCGCTTGGGCAAGTAGTAGAACTGAAAAATTTCACGGCGAAACACGTTAAGATTTAAACGCTTCCCCTATCACCCTACCCGAAGCCTTCAAGTTTAATAAAGTCAGTGCATAGACGTATAAAATACCAACAATTGTAATAATCACAGATATGACAATTGCTATGGAGAAAAACATCCTTTGCTGGCAAAAGTGTTTTCCCTCTGCCTCTTTCTCTCCCTTTCCATATATACAACATTGTACTTAGTTAGCTTAGCTCTCTCTGTATACTCTCACGTACGAGTGATGGTTAGTGTAAACACGTGCAAGCGCGCGGGAAAAGGTAGTTACTGCAAAAAAACAAGCAGTTTCTCGCAAATATTACTTTCAATGGTAAATGGCCGACTGCACGCAAAAAGTTGAGTGAACATACATATATAATACTATGACAAATATGCAAACAAGGAAAGGTTATTAGATACAAGAAGTATGATTCGCGGTTCTTGTGCGCGGGGCTGAAAGTTAGAACTTTGATCAATAGCTACATTGCTAACACTGAAGGTGACCAATTTATTTAAGAAAAGTAGAGCAAATAATGGGGTGCGCTCAGAAAACCATAGGCTACTTTTAGGAGGTGCAGAGTTTTGTTGACTGAGATGCCGGTCGTGGTAGATCATTTTATGGTAAACTGTTATCTATTGCTGCCAACAACCGTTCGTCATATGCTCAACTTAACCTTTGCAGGTCCACCATCGTAGGACAAGAAAGTAACTACTATTAATTCACGCGTCCCAGAAGTTGCATCTTTTCCCAACGCATACTATTCTATTCTTATTTTTCATCGCTTGAGTCAACACGCAGTACTGAACCATACGAAAAAAGGCACATAGATATTTTCGGATACGACTTGAACGAGTCGGGCGACAGATATATACCTAATGCCAGGCTTGTATTTGGCTGAATATGATCGTTTTTTCAATTTGCATTACCCTAGAGAAATGAAAGCGAATGTTAGTTGGCAGAGGGATTTATCGGCGTAAGTTGCTTCGGACCGAACATTGTTAAGTCTAGCGACGCCTAAACCCTGAGACAAGTTATATAATGTTTTATTGTACTTAGTTGTACGAAACCCATATAACTCCGAAACGAAGGTATGTAGGTATAGCTTTTGTAGACATGAAGGTAAATTGCTCTGTATCGAGCGCAGTTACTTTCATGCGAACTTCAAATGGGAAATAATTATATAATATATATAATAACATATAGTAATATAATCACACTGTAATATAAGATCCAAGGTTCAGTTCGCGGAATTATTATCCGGGCTTGTAAACACGAAACGGGCTAGAAGAATTAGTAGCAGTATTTAATAAACACGATTAAACATATACGCTGGTTGCATTTATTCCTAATACTACAATTTTACTTTACAGTATACATTTGCACTAATGTGTACGTTTTTTTACTAGCTTTTAGAACTAATGGCTTCTGGAGACCTAAACAGGCCAGCAAGCAATTACCCGAAACGTATATCTTTGGTGGTATATAGCCCTTGGGTGGGTCGGCGATCCGAACTCATTTAAATATATGCTTCTTTTTAGAAGACTATGGAACAGGTTTTCTGTAGTGCAATATCATACGAAACGTTCTTACTTACATTCACGTTATCCTCTTAGCATGCTGAACTGCATTGAAGACTATTTGCTACGATGGTTTCATCTCGACTGTTGATAGATCGCACGCCCTAGACACCTACCCGCCGCGGGAATTTCGAACACTATTGGCAAACCGCGGAACAGCTCCATACAAGTACGACTTCCAGATGAAGGAAAAAAGTATTTGACATAAGGTCAATGACGTGAATATGCAGCATGCGGTAATATGACATACATACTTGTTTTGGCGAAAACTATGTGCACAGTGTCGACTTATATATATATAACACATTATACGAAACAAGACAGCTACTGTTTCCCACAGCAAATATCGATTCTCTGTTCTTGCACCATGGACTATTACCTGCACGCATAGTTCTATCGTCAAGAGGTCGCTTACGCACCCTAGAGGTCAGGCAGACGATTTCAGTCTCCGAAGCTGAAAAATTTTGACGTCAATGAAAGACAACCAAATCTTTCAGCTTGGCAATTCACAGTCAATTTGTGATCCTTCATCGCGAATCGGATTTTCCGTCCTTTTCTCTATACGTCTACCTCGAAGCCATTAATAAACGAATCTAGTTCACAATTGAGCTTTCCTATGTACTGTTATATATTTCGGTTAGCGATGTCGTCTCGACAGCAGGCAAAACTGTTAGTATCGAAAGCATCGTCTTCCTCGCCTTTAAATCGTCCTTCTTCGAGTTGCATCCAGCGAACAGCTATTTTACTATCTGGTCACCACGTTAGTTTAGCTTTCTTATGTTTTATCCATCTAACTGAAACGCATTTGTCTGTAGACTTTTGATGTGTTTAATGTACGCGCATTGAAACATGAACTTGATGGATACGCATGCTGCACGTTCCGTTGTTTGCATTCTACACGTTCGCATAACGTTTTAGGCCCAACATTACAATGTAGAAAAACATTCCCCTCGTGTAAACTACATGATACATTTTGGCTTGATGACGCCATGGTCGTTTAGTCGCGAGACCGGCCAAATGCAAGCCCTGTCACTGGAGTCAAGTTCTCTCTACTCGAGACTTTTGCAGGCTAACAAGTTAAAGGAGGGTAGTGTGGGGACACGACCTTAAGTGAAGCAATTCATCATTGGAGTCTTCTTTAAGGAAAGTCGGTAAGTCCTCCAATTGTGGGTCGTTACTGTTTACCAGCGCTGTAACGGTTTAACGTGTTGCACACAAAAACTGATCGTTGCAAGAAATGATGTTGTTATATAGAAAAACGTTACTCACAAGTTTCCACGGAGGGCAGTCACAGAGGAGTCAGAAACATTATTGACTTTGAAACCTCTACCACTATTGCTGTATCTGACTCATGTATGAGGTCACTCTAGCGAATACGAGCAAACGAAACGCAAGTAGTTCAATACCATAAATCCGGATTCAGCAGGTCGATAAGGTTGGCAAATTGTTTACTGGGTTTATAACACTCGTTACGTTGTTTGGAAGACAACTTATGGTTGTTTCTTTTCTAAAACGGTCATGTCTTATAGATACATGGAAAGCTCTTTTCTTGCTTCATAAGTCCATGATGGCCTAAGTTCAGGTCATGCAATTTGCATTTCTAAAAGAGTACATTCGGTGACAAGAAACACCATCGTCGATAGTTACTTGTCTTGCACCAAGCACGGCATGCTTACTTAAGTAGAGCTTTAACGAGGACTGTTTCGACTCACCCCTGAAGAAAGAAAACTATGGAAGAAGCCTGCATCTTTTACCTGCACTATTTTCCTTGCATGCAAAACATATTTCCTGGACTACTTCTACAGCTTTTTGAGACCAGCGAAAAACTGGTACCTAAAATTCATCTCTTTTTTAGCCGAGAGTCCCATATTTAAAATCTAAACTAAGGGTAAAATTTAAAGACAAAACTTTGCAAGCTAATAAAAGACATCGCATACAAAAACAACCTAATACCTACTAAATGTTCGACCTTGTAAGCACTATGGGTACTCTAAAATACAATCTACACTCACAAAGCGGAATATCGAAATCCAATTTATTTCGAACACACTCGTACATTAGCAAAATTACCCAGAAGGAGCACGGGCCATGAGCCTTAACTAAAAAAACGTCTAAGGCCGACTTTATACATTAAACGAATCTTAATTAGAAATTCATAAAGAACTGACTTAACGGCAGAGAGGCAGTCCAGTTAAACAGGGCGTACTAACTAGTTCGTAAAAGTGATGTTGAATCGAAGTGGAGCTTCTAGAGTTAGAAGGGTATGGAATTTTATCGAGAATTAGTCCTTAAACTTAGCGAACTTCTATATAAGTTCGTTAATAGTACTCTTCAGACGCTCGCAGGACTCTAGCCTTGCTGACACTGACCTCTTATCCTTAACTTCAGCTACGCATCTTTTCTATGTTACTACAGCAGTGTGCAGAATGGCAGGTGCCTCCTACTGGCTCCCGGCAAACTGGGCTAAGCTGCAAATATTGGTTCTGTCATACCCAGTTTCTCATAAGTTGTATTTAATATAGCCGCCATCTGTTCAAATATTTAGTCAGACTTGCTGGCAACATATTAAGGTCAAGGATATTGCGTCAAGCTTGTCGTCTTGGCCACCTTGGCCGTTGTTCATTACGCCTTCTGGTGACTGCTAAGAAACAAAGTCTTGAAACGATCATTTAATCCTGTTATTGCAACAAGTGGGTCTCATATTTGGCCGGACTTAACAAATTGGCTCTTGAGTTCTGAGATAATGTGTACCCCTAGGAGCTTACAGATCAACTGGATTGAGGGTCAGAATGCATATATCCGTAGTCGCGTCTTTGGTACAGGAGCCATTAAAGATTAGAACTGATTTTTTATTTACTGAGTATATACTGTAAGGGTGAAAAAACTAAACCAGCAGCACTAAGGGACCCGCAATATAGGAAACATATATATACGGTAGAAAAATATTACCAAAGGCAAATCGTGTTTAATCATAACGATAATGGAAATGGTATCTGCTCCATTTATTTATGGTAAATAAAAATAAAACGTTTCTAAATTGAATGATAAATTATGCATATATAACATATCAAGAGTTAAGGTCCCCTATTATTGTTACAAATAAATTAGATTTACGTCGAATTAATATTAAATGAGAGAATTTTAAATCTTATTAAAGGAACTTATAGTAAAAAAAGGATAAAACGGATAAAAATTTGAAAATCAATTTACATATCATTACCCATATTATTCCTAAGATATATCTAAACATAACTTATCGAACCACTTACTTAGCCTTAGCCAACAAGTAGAGTCTATGCGTTGTTTACGACATTCACTGCAATCAAATTACCTACAATATTTCCCCTTCAGGATTCCAAAACAATTGCTGTGGGTATTTTCAGAAGGGTTATTGGTCACATTTTGTTACTTATTAGTGTTAAGTTGCGACAAGCCGTTCAATTGTTAAAAAAAGCTTATAAGTTTACTTTACTACTTCGAATATGTATACATATTCGAAGTAGGAAAGTTATATGTTTTTTTTTTTTATATATCTCCCGTAATCGTTTTTCAGGGGGAACACTCCTTAACAGCCAATGGAGAACGCTAGCATTAATCCGATTCATGTTACGGTACGTCATCATCTTACAACATGGTAAACCATGAATAGGTCAGTGATCAACTGGTGTCGATAGTAATTGCTCAAATAAGTTATTACACTGTAAATTCCATAGCAATGTAGTAAATCTATCTGAGTTAATGTTAGTACCAATTGAATGATTTTCTTCATGCCATGAATTGTGTGAGCTTCGTATTTGCGTCTTCTAAATATCATAGCTTCTGATAGGATATAAGTAAACGAATAAAATTTGCCTACAAAGACAACTTTGTACGTGAAAGGAGCTAGCGATGTTGTCTTTTGCCTTAATGCATATCAATTATAGTTTCATCAAAATCCCTATTGTCCGCCATCTTGCCTTATTTACGCAGGTCCTCCGGGTCATTGGACACGCAGTACTGGTAACATGCGCCAAGATCGACCACGACGGCACACTTTACTTGTTTGACGCTCAGGGGAAGGGGATACCTAGAGAGGAGTTTCGAGAATCCCTGAAACTGCTCTCGCCGGAGGAGGTCTTGGAGGGGCAGCTTGTATGCGTTCGCGGACAACGAGGAGTCGTAGGTTGTGTGGTAACCCCTATACCTGAACCGAGAAGTGACCGACATCAGGATCTCTACGAATTGCGTGTACTGAATCGTACGAGCGACGGACAAATCGTTGAGGGTGCGTTTTGTGAGCATAAAGTAAACTGTGAAATGCATTTGCTTTTCATTACAAAAGCTGATGCAGGGGGCAGACATTCTTACAGTAATCAGCAAAGTACACAAAGAATGTGCAGTAATGATATTTTAATCAGTTGTTAATTAATTAGAATAATTCTGAAATTAAGTAGAAAACCCTTAACAGAAATATGACATGGTGACTTGTGCACAATATTCGTTCGAGAGATCCTTTGGTTTCTATGAACGGCGCAATGGAGAAGCAATGCTTGAATCAACGAAAATATAAGGAAGCAAGCTGACATTACGGCGTCCTACTCTGTAATAGGCCGAATTTAGTGTCGTGTAATCATTTCCTTTCGGTCCCTTTTGTGTAAAGCAGATCAAAGATTCACTAAAACGTTAGATAACACATATTTGAAACAGTAGCGTGAAAGCCGTAGCAGGATATTGTTATTATTATTGTGAATGTTTCGGGTGTTTTCCGGCAGGTACTGCAACGATGACAAGGCGCCAGGTGTACGAGTTTCCAGCATTGTTCGTGGTGTCCCCATTGAACCCGATTGAAACAGTGCCTGCGTCAGGACAAACGGCCCGGTTTGTCCATGACATGAACGCGCTTGCCCTAAGTCAGATGCATCCTTTTCGCCACTTGTTCCCAAGACCGTGGCAAAACGGCCCGGACCCTGAATGGCTAAACCAGCCTATACGTGGATTTCTAATTTACAGCTATAAAAGCTAATTACCTATTGCCTCATGAAATGCATATCGGGAGAATCGGACTACTTGACTGGCATGTACGGACAGAAGCTATAGCTTTGCCTTTCATGCAAAAATAATTTTACTCCTTACTTATATGAATAGGGCGTAGTCGGAAAAAATCAAATAGAATCCTAGATATAATATAGCACATATAAGAGTCTGACGGAAACATTACGTTTTTAAACTGAATCCATCAATGCCCAGTAGCTCATTTTGACTATTACTCGTCAGATCATGTATGTAAAGGGAAATCGTTTATGACAGGGATCATTTATGACAGGACTTAAGGATGGGAAAGAAAATGAATACTGACAAACTTATATCGGGATAATTAGCCCGTGAGGGGATTCAACTGCGTAAGCTATACTCGCAAATTCCTAGGCGCGCTCACTCGTGCAGTTTATAATAACCTGTTATGGGACGAACGTTAAATGCCGTTCACTAGAACTTACTTCGTGTCCGATTAATCGAACATGTGATATAAAAATAAATAATAATACTATTCGAACGGCGTATATTACGGGAAGCGAATATTCTTTTATTTATAAGATCTTTTTTTTTCAATTAAACAAGAACCTACATCTGTGACGGTTGTTGACGACTCAGTGGGTAAGCTCGCAAAATAAAAACATTAAAAGCTGGATGAATATGGGAATTATTTTTGTTTCAGTGTGCGCTTGTTTATGCTCCTATATGTAAAGCCTTTACATCAAAAAGATACTTTACCGCAAAAAAGCTACGGTTGTGAAATCAATGGCTAAACTGAAAACAAGCGATTATTTGTTTCTTTAATTTTACCCCTTCATTTGCCTCTCTCTTTTTTTGTCGTGCCTACTTCGACCTTCCGTAAAACAGTGATATATAATTTCAACTATATCGCCGTGATAAATAAAGAAGATAAGGCCTCCAATTTATTCTTTTATGTTTGTATATTATCACTATGTGCGTCGCTATAAATTGTGCTCACGGCTCTATAATCTTTACTTTCATTGCATGTTCAGCTACTGTTTATGAAAGCAAAAAAAAAAAAAAAAAACAAATTATATCTAAAATCGAACATTGACCTTATTCTCTCGGAGGTACTCCATCGTGTTGCGGTAAACATAGCGCTTTCAACAATCCATGCATTTCTTATCGACGACTATATAAAATTGTCCTGCCGAAACCGTTCGACAAGAATTACTTAAAAACACGGCGCTGATATTGAAAATTATAGCCGAATGAACTAAATGTGACGAAATTAAGTACTACAAAATCTCGACCTGCCAGCTAACTAGTAAACAGCTAGCTAAATAAAATATTTCTTTATACTTCTAACATCTATAAAATAATTACCGTCATTCATATACTTCCAATAATCACATATTTACAGGTCCTTTTTAATAAACACATTTTATTCTGCGATCCGAGCACTCCATTCAAAAGTGTTTGTTGCAGAAGACAGTAGCAATGTAAGGTTGTAGATTTATTATATTAATAAAAATCTTCTACTTCTTTTATTTCTACACAATCAAAAAGTTGATACAATAGTTATACAAGGTTCATTTCGCTATTTTCATTTTTACAGCCACACCTGCGACATGCGCTCGTCATCGGCCAAAGCTCACCGACTTCTGTCGCCATCGCGCCTTTAGGTTCTAGGCCACGAGAGCGATGCTGAAAGGTTGGAAAGAAAGTTCCACCCGTATGGACAATGGTAAGCTACTACACAGACAGTCTCTACAATTCTCTACATAGTTGATATTTGCTTTGTTTTGTTTGGGTGCTTTTCCTCCCTCCACCAGGGGGTTAGCTACGTACTCACGGGCCCTGTCGCTATTTTCATTATAATCACTTTGTTATGATGAATGTTATTTTCAGGCTTTGCATGGGTCATTGCTGTGGTCTAATATTCGTTGCTCTTTCTTTTTTCTCGTCTCATCATTGTTGGTACCGGTATCGTTTGTCAAGTCCTCGATCTTTTATTATCTGTCCCAAGAGTGGTCTATTTTAGGCTGAAATAGGGCTAACAGTGTATTCGTTCGAATTTGTCTGGTTATCAATCTTATAATTTCTACTATTGTCATTGCATGTTATGGTCACTTTAGTCCGGTATTTTTACACAGCATTTATTAAGGCAGATACGCGAGAAATATCTGTTTCCCCTCCTGATGCTGTTGTTTGCGTTGCGATTACACAGGCTTTTGCATTGATTGTTATGTATTAATATTTACGTCCCATGTACCTGTCTGCGTATAATGGTACCATTGCAATGACGGACGCACCTCGCAGGCAAACCCGATAAACAGCGGTTCATGTCTTTCTTTATATCCACTCCGCAGTCTTCATCATGTCTTCTTCATTTCACTTGTTTTTTTTTTTTTATTATTTTTATTTAGATCTAACAACACCTAGTATTGCAGACGACATTTTCAGTGTCGAAGTAGGCCCGGGACCTTTTATACATATATGGTTGTGTTTCATATTTTTGCCTTATTGTACACCATTAATCATCATATCGTAGCTACGTGCCACCGGCCAATTCAGCGAAGAAAATAGCGACTTGACTTCAACCGTTTCATTCACCCACAACATTTCGCTTCGATACCTGATATGAACTTATCATTGGATGAAGCATTCTAGCGATGGAGAAGACTTTCGTTTAGGAAAATTGCTTAGATCCAATCCGTTGAACTTTCGTTTTATTCGTTCGTATTAATTACACCACATAGAAAAGCAATTGGGTTTAGTAGTGAAAGGTTAGAATTACTGTTTTCCGGTCTATTTATTGTGGTACACCAAAAAACTTGGCGTCTACTAGTGCGACATTACATACATGCTAGTCAAGCGCAGTGCCACACACAGAACAGCTCTGGCCGAAACTCTCTGCGGCCGCGATGAAACATTAGGTTGCATCATGTCGCTGCGGCATGGCACTTACTAGTGGAAAAATCAAATAGTACGCTTTAGTTGGCCATTCATTAGGGCTGAACGGAACTTCGAAATCAAACAAAAATCACATTACCAGGTTGTTCCTTTTTTCTTCCCCATCACGAACTTAACGAAAACGTCAATGTCAATCATGGCTTTCAGATTCGCCGGCTACCGTCTGTTTGTCGTTATAAACGAGTAAGGGGAAAAAATAGTTTTTGTTATTTCAACATAGCGTATGTGCATATGAATATATGTATGTATGTGTGCCTGTATATGGATGTGTATGTGTGTATGAATGTATGTATATTGGCGTTAGATACACGTTCTTCCTTAGATACAAAACTCTAGGGAGAACAAACTAACTTCCGAGTACTGGCAAAAAATGTAGGATGCCACAACAGAGGAGAAATCGTTTTTTTCCACACTGTCACTTGTTGCGACTGTGTTCTGTATGCGTTTTCTGATCGCGTTTTGTATCTTGCGTATAGTCATTGAGTTATTATTAGCATTTGTGACTAATCGTATCACCGTATTACTGTTTTCGCTGCGTTTGTTATACGAAAATGTCACTAATTCTATATTTATTAGCAACAGCTTAAAGCAAATAGAAGAAGAGGCGTCCAGCGCTGGTTGGTAACTTATGATCTGGCTTGTTGTTGTCTTCGTTTGCTGATTAGTCACTTGTCTATTACACCGAGTATATCATTGCAGTGTGTTACAAATCTTCACCCGCGCTTTTGCTGCTGTGCTTCATCAAATGTTTCCCTAGTCCAATTACCTGCTTTTCTTTATCAATATAACGTCTCTATGAAATATATATATATAATATATAATATATATATATATATATATATATATATATGCATATACAATCGAGCCCATTTTTCTTCATGCGCAAAAGGGGACTATGGATTTCCATTGCGTATCGATGTGTTACATATTTCTGGGCGTCCTAACGTAAACCAGTCTTCGTGTGTCTCTCCGCTGTTAGAGTAGTTTTTGTCTGTGTTCGTGTAGCTGCGTTACGGCACGTGTTGAAGTGAAGGTTTAAGATTGGTAGTATTCATCGTAACCATATTAGAGATAATAGCTTCATTGCTACTAACGTCTTTCCTATACAGATCGATATTCGCTCATCTCCAGTTCAGGCTTAATCATCACGATCAGCGCCATTCATGATGTTTTTAGGTTACTGACCGATGCTTGTCTGTATCGTTCTATGTGAGTTGTGTTTATGTTACTGTTATTGTTGTTTATGTTGTTATGGTTATTATCTCCATTTTTGCCCCTGGTACTGTCCGCCAGAGTGGGCCTGCAACGTTTTCCGTAGGTGTCACGTTCGTCACTTTTTCCAGGTACACCCCCCTTTTCACCCACTAGTTTATTTTTATCGCATCATTCTCACCGTCATGATCATCAAAGACTAATCATACTTTTACCATTAACTAGCATTATAATTCAGTACGCAGCAGTCGTAATAGTAGCAGTAAATAGTGATGATAATTGTGATGAATCGATCAATCGCTGGTCATCGTTTTTTCAAGGCGGTTTCATCACCTTATACTTCTAGGCATATATATATATATATATATATATATATATATATATATATATATATATATATACATTGTGTAACCGTTTGTGTCAATTTGTTGCATTGTAGTATTTTGTTATCATCAAGTAAGTATGTATGTTTATATATATTCTTTTTTCTTACCAACACATCTGTCTACAAGGCATCATTTACGAACAACTTTTTCATTAATTCTCGCTTTTCCCACTTCAGAACGAGCACTCCTCATTCATATACAGACATAGTAGTAGTAGAGTATGGGTCACCATGCAAGGGAAACCCAATACGGAAATGGGGCTACGCTTTTCCATTTGCCCACTGCAAAATGGGAGTGCCATCTACAGTGTTTGTTCAACACTACGTACCGCCTGTGTAGAATTTCCGACGATTTCATTTGAATTTGCTCTTATACTCATCGTAAGTTGACTAATACGCACGTTTCTATTATCCTGTTGTTGTTCTTATCGTTAGATTGGTATCGAAGTGTGATTTTGCCTGCACAGCGCTTTTTTTTTTATTACCTTTAAACACTCACTACCTACCATCTAAAAATCTACAGAGCGCACAAGCTGTTTGTTTGTTGCATCTGAAATCGTCGTGTTTCAGTTACGTGTTGTCTTCGGTGTGCGTGAATCGTTTCTGCTTAGCCAAGCTATTTTCGTATATTTCAGCTGCTTCTCTTTACAAAAATTTATCAAGCATAATTACAGGTAATAATAGTAATTGGTGTTACTGTTGTAACAGAAGAGACATTTGTGCAGATGACAAAGCGGGGAAAACCGTATGGTTTAAAGTGAATGAGTTTGTCAATTCCTTTTGGTAAGCCGTGTGGCGCATTGGACAAACGTCGTTAGGCAATGTCTCCCGTTTTTCCTACACTTGCCACTTGACTGTTCATTTTCTATACACAACGCTGTTGGACATGCAGGTTCTTCACAGGCGTCAGCGACAGCTTAGCTGGCCACGGCTCGTTTGAATTTACTTGTGTGCTAAACAAAGGTTCTCCTCTGCCCTTCGTTGCCAATAGCTAGCTATCGTAGCCAAAGCAGCGTTTTAGACACATACATGGACGTGCAGACGTTCACTCGCATCATCTTGTTGCAAGCAAGCATGTATGTCAAGGTCTTTTTCGAACAGGAAAATCACCTCAGGAACTGCCGCAATTACAACAAGGCCAGCAGCTAACCGGAACTGCAATTGGAGCAGTTGAAATTCTCACCTCTCGAAGTTTAGCCGATTGACTAGAGGCAGTCCGCAATCAACCAGCTAAGACTATATCGATAAGCTAAAAGGTTGGGACACAGAGCGGTTCTTCTACTATGCCTTCTTCCTGCACTGGTCTCACAATCATCAGCTAAATTCGAAGGCGGGCACGTGAATGCTTTCGAACGACGTCTGTTGCCCGTTGTTGACGCTGCTGTTGCAAGTATTCGCTTTATTATCCATTTCAGGCCGACTTCACTATTTTCACATATACACACATACCAAACAAACAAACAAACAAAGCTGGCAAACGAACGCTTTCACACACAGCCACGAATGTAACGTAGCATCTTCGCCCATCAGCAGCGTGAGTAATAATAGCAAGGTAATCATTTCGAGGCCGTTTTTTACTATTGTCGTTATTGTTGTCCAATTGGTGACCAACAAAGCGTAGAGAGGCGCGAGCAAAGCTAATTGACGCAAAGTGTGACACGTTTGCAGTACATGGCTTTCATCAAATGTTTTGTTGTGGTTCAGCAGGTTTCCATGTGCTAGACACTACGTGCGTCTGTATAAGATGTGATGGAATATGACTCGTATGCCTGCCTGGGGCATACGTTGCAGTATTTTCGCTGGGCAGTCTCTTTGACCGGACACATCAATTTTGAAGGGTTTAAATTAAACTTCATACGTTTATAAAATACAATCGCATTTATGTATACATATAATAAATATGACAGTTAATAATTATTGTACTCCGTGCTATTATAACATGTTGACTCAGTCGACTTGTCCGATGTTGGTTGCCTCTTGCGCGCCCCCGTTGCTTTTGTCAATGAACGAACGAATGACCGACAAAGGAAATACGGTAACCCTCAGGAAACCTTACTAGAAGTAACTGTTTTGTCGCGGACGTATACAAGAATGTGCTGTTTGTACCATCAACTGTAAAAGCCAATCCTTAGCAACGAGGTAACAACCTAATCGAAACAACGAGTTATTTGAATTGCATCCATCATTACCCATACAACATACCCATTAATGAAATAAATCGTTCAAACTGATACCACGGCAGCTGGCGGAGTGGAGGCCACAATCCGCTCGACATGTGTCTTCTCTTTCGTGTGCAAACGTTATTATGTTGAATCATCACGAGTACAAAGAATCTATATGTACACATTATATATATCCTGTAAGGACTATGTGCTAAAGACGTCACCCACTATGCAATCGTCGTCCGTGTGTTTGTAATTATATATATTTTATAAATCTAACATAACCATGGGGATGATAATAATAAGAATCGTGGCTAAGGAGTCGAACAAAAGCTGCTGGCGCCAGTGACCGAGGGTGTTAGGCGCCGAGAGGTGAAATGTCTTGTGGCGGAGACAGTGTTTCCGGCAGATACGGAGGGATGAGGTAGGTTTTTTAGCGTACGTACACATTGTGCCGCGTCTTCTGCTGTCGCCACGTTAAGTGGACATGACGATGTTTTGAATCGTGTATATCGATCTGTGTCATACTAAATGAAGGAAGCAATGATGGAGATAAGAAGGTGGTAAATGAGGTCGTTTATGCAGGTGGCTCTTTCTGTTGCTTTCACCCTACGCAAAGTGCATGGATCTGAATGGACTTCGTGGCTTCTCTATCATATCATCAAAATTTTGACAAAACAACTCGGTTCTACCGGTTCACAGGGACGTGTGTCAAAAGATGTAGTTAACGCATGGCAAAAGGGATACTACACCAAAAGCAAGGCTAAACCACCTACTCTGCTCAACCTAGAGTACGGCGCACACGAAAGCCTAACTCGGGTATGCAGAAATAAACGCTATCGTGATCGGATGAAGCAATGTCAATGTATAGTGAGGAGGAGAGTGGTTCGAACAGAAAATTATCGGAAAATTAACAGCAACAATATATATATATATATATATAAAAAACGTCAGTCCTTTCTAGATGGGAGGCGCCTGGAGCTTTCCTAAGTGAAGTTTTCTTAGTGAATTATGCTACGAAGCACGGAATCGCACGGTTCGGAGCACCGCAGGCGTTAATGAACCAGAACGACTAGAAGGCAGTATAGAAATACGAATTTCCCTTTTCCATTATATATCAACAGAACAACGATGACAATAACGCTCACAAACACATGCACAGTAGCCACAAAAGTAACAGTATGTCAACAACAATACTACAAGAGTAACAACGTAATAAAAACAGTACAATAAGAACACTAGATGATCATTCGCAAGGCGAGGCGGAGGTGTTATGCCTCTGACCAGCGTCGACCCAACGCGCCTCGTGGAATCGTGGGTGATTAAATTTCGTCTATTGACACCTTCGTGAACTGTAACTATGCCAACGTGGCAATAATTTCATCCTGTTTAAAACTAGAAATAAAATGAAACTTCCATTAAAGTAACTTAGAGAAATTATGTTAACGTAAGGTGCTTAATAGTACGTTCCAACATTCCACAATTCCCAACAAAGATGGGCCGCTGAAAGAGAACGTGACAAAAAGATGTGCTCTTAGTTCACACCGACGTACGTCCCTTTGGCGATCACGGAGTATCAGAAAGGAAGGAAGGATAGACAACTTAAAAGGCGTTACCGTTCAGATAAACCCACATATGGTAATATGTAGTGAACGATTACACACAAACCCACGTAATGAGTCACAAAAATAACAAATATAGTACTAAGACAAACTCATAAAACCCTGTTGGTATACTTTTGCGCAGATTGTATAACTGCAAAGATCGCAAGTTTTACCTGTCGATATGCATGCATTTAACGTGGGAACTGGACTTTGGTGAAGACATTTAGGAAACTACTATTGTACTAAACGTGGGAAGAAAGCTGATCCAGAAGAAGAGAACGGAAGTATCTATAGTTAATAACATTGAAATCTATTAATTAAAACAACGTAGCTCGTGGGTAAACATATATGGAGGGTCGAGTGAGATTAGGTCGGATATTTGTCTGTTTGAAGGCAGCTGTAAGTAGTGTTCCAAGCTGGTACTAATGAATCAGCTTGCTGGAATACGAACCTAGTGTATCCAAGACATAAGACATGGAACGTCAATTTACATTTATAGTAACACAAATAGGGGGAACAGTAAGCATGACGTTGCAAGAATCAGTTACGTGTATAGTTTAGTAAAAAAGATATGTTAAGCAGCAGCGTATATGTGCAGCGGGATAGTGACCCATTGTTTTGGTTTTTGAGACAATATGAATAGAAAGCCGCAAAAATAACTGCCTGAAGATAACTGAAGAAGATCAGCCGAGTTGAGGGATCCATAACCATCATTTCATCAACATTCCGAAACAACTTCCAAACAAACAAATCCTTCGGTTCGACTGATTTTCTTCAGTTATCTTTTGGCAGCTATTTTTGCTGCTTTCTATTCGAACCGTTCTCCTTTTCATTCATTGTCTCATCCGATCATGATAGCGTGTGCTTCCGGATGTCCACGTTAGGTTCTCGTGCGTGCCGCCCTATATGTTTAGCAAAATAGGTTCAGGCAAATGTATATACAAAATATAAAGTATACAATGTCTTCCATGCCTAGGTATTAGAGTTTTAATTGGGTTCGTATGCTAGCCGTTAAATTATAATCGCTCATCTTCTATGCGCTTGCAAGTCTTACTACCAAAATAATGGGTTACTATCCCGCTGCGTAACATATCCTTTTTACTAAACTATACACGTAACTGATTCTTGCAACGTCATGCTTACTGTTCCCCCTATTTGTGTTACTATAAATGTAAATTGACGTTCCATGTCTTATGTCTTGGATACACTAGGTTCGTATTCCAGCAAGCTGATTCATTAGTACCAGCTTGGAACACTACTTACAGCTGCCTTCAAACAGACAAATATCCGACCTAATCTCACTCGACCCTCCATATATGTTTACCCACGAGCTACGTTGTTTTAATTAACAGATTTCAATGTTATTAACTATAGATACTTCCGTTCTCTTCTTCTGGATCAGCTTTCTTCCCACGTTTAGTACAATAGTAGTTTCCTAAATGTCTTCACCGAAGTCCAGTTCCCACGTTAAATGCATGCATGTCGACAGGTAAAACTTGCGACCTTTGTAGTTATACAATCTGCGCAAAGGTATACCAACAGGGTTTTATGAGTTTGTCTTAGTACTATATTTGTTATTTTTGTGACTCATTACGTGGGTTTGTGTGTAATCGTTCACTACATATTACCTTATGTGGGTTTATCTGAACGGTAACGCCTTTTAAGTTGTCTATCCTTCCTTTCTGATACTCCGTGATCGCCAAAGGAACGTACGTCGGTGTGAACTAAGAGCACATCCTTTTGTGACGTTCTCTTGCAGCGACCCGTCTTTGTTGGGAATTTAAGCGTTATGTACACCGATGTCACGTTCTATTAAGCACCTTACGTTAACGTAATTTCTCTAACTTCCGAAAGTTTCATTTCATTTCCAGTTTTAATCAGGATTAAGTTCTTGCCACGTTTTCGGCACAGTTACAATTCACGAAGGCTGCAATATACAAAATCTAATCACCCACGATTCCACGAAGTGCGTTGGGTCGACGCTGGTCAGAGTCACCTGCTGTTGGTTGGAGCTTTGGCAAAAAGTAGGCTGCGGCGGCGAAAGACAAAACATTAAGCCGCGTGTTAGGCACTTTCTTTCTCTTCCGTTGTTTTGTGCATTCATATGTAGTGTTTCCATTGTATTGTTGCTATTATTACGTTGCTCTGTTGGCGACTGCTGTGTTCCGTGCCCTACGATTCCAGGCTTCACAGTCTACTCGAAGTTGTGAAAGACAGACGGAGAGTAAACTCCACTCCGGCACGGTCAAGACGCCCCTCGCCCAGAGAATGCTAGGTTGCAGTGCCACATGCCAGGTTGGCGGTCCGGAGCCGCGTATATATATATATATACAAGTTTTTACATTCATAATAAAGGTAATAGTAATAATATTAAATCAGTGACAGCGGTAGACATCGTCTGTCTGACTTATACAATACAAGATACAACGGACAACCATCGCTTAGCGACGACGTCCAATCTACAGTGTGTGTCTGAGTGCCGTTATTCTCCCAAAAACCTGTGTTGATTCCCATTTCCGCTCCCATTATTGCCGTTTGTTCGCAAGTATTATAAGCTTTGTCCCTTTCGTTTCCATTTTTAAATCTTTGTCTTCGTCGATCTCCACAAACGATGTCGCCTAGAATTTACCCCCACTTAGGCCCCTCTTGCTATATATGTGGATAGATAGTTGACTTCGTCAGTTACTAAGTGTCACGGGTACATTATGCAGGAGTTCAGTTGGCTGACACCTGACCTCTCAAGACCAGAGCAACACGTATTCAAGGTTTCGCACGGCCTGCCCTGCTTCTTACGAATGTTGGCGTCTTATGGGCCCTTGGATTCGCTGTTTTTCTTCAGTTATCTTCAGGCGGTTGTTATCGCTGTTTTCTGTTCGAACCGTTCTCCTGTTCATTATACATTGACATTATTTCATCCGATCACGGTAGCGTTTATTCGTGCATACCCGGGTTAGGCTCTCGTGAGCGCCGTACTTTAGGTTGAGCAGAGTAGATGGTCTAGTCTTGCTTTTGGTGTAGTGTCCCTTTTGCCATACGTTAACTACATTTTTTGGCACATCCCTATGAACCGGTCGAACCGAGTTGTTTTGTCAAAATTTTAATGACATGAGAGAGAAGCCACGAAGTCAATTTAGATCCATGCGCCTTGCATAGGGTGAAAGCAATAGAAAGAGACAGCTATGTACACAACTTTGTCTATCACCTTCTCATCTACATCATCGTTTTTTTTTAATTTCCGTATGGCACAAACTCATACTCGCGATTCAAGCTGCGCAACCCCACACACGGGACGTCGTCATGTCCGCTTACAGCAGTAGCAGAAGACACGGCACAATGTGTACGTACACTAAAAAACCTTCCACATCCCTCCGTAGCTGCCGGAAACACTATCTCCACCACAAGACATTTCACCTCTCGGCGCCTAACACCCCCGTCACTGGCACGAGCAACTTTTGTTCGACCCCTTAGTCACTATTATCCCCATGGTTATGTTAGATTTTCTTGACCGCTTCCTTTTTTGTTTATTGTTGTAGCTGTTACAGTTATGGATCGCACCACTGCCGTTATTATTGCTGCTGCTGCTGCTGCTGTTGCTTCCGCTGAAGCTGTTGCCAAAAGGACACCGTTCGCCATCTGTTTTTCTGTCCTAATATTCCACTAAAATTACGCTATGTGCTCCATCATCATCGTGATATCGCAATAAGGATCATGATTGTGTACGCTTGCTAGCTATTGACAACAACAACAATAGTTGCGTTGGTGCTGACTGTCGCTGACTATCGATCTTACGAAACAAACACCCGAGTTTGCAGAGTTGTGTAATTACTATCTGATCCAGAACGATCAGACGCTTCACTCTCCGCGAATCTACGCGACCGATCAATTATCGTAGTGTGCGAAAAAACAGAGGCATTTTTATGTTTGTTATTATATGTAGTGTAACAATCAAATAATCAATGGCAACAACAAACAGCATGTCCCGCGCCGTCCAGCTCTGGGCGGCGACGCTTAGCAGCTTTGTTTGTCAGCGTCTACTGTGCGGGTTGTGGCTGTTGAGGGTGATGGGAATGCGGCGGAGAGCCGGTCTGGTTGCCTGAAAGATATTTGTATAGGTACTTCTCAAGCTTGGCGAGTGCGTGTTTGCCCGATGTCGACTTTTGAAGCTGTTCTTTGTTCAGAGCAATCTTCTGCACCAATAGCTTCGAATAGTGGGCGTCTGCCACCTCTACCATACGTTGTACCTGAAGCAATGCACCACAACCAATTGTCACTGCTGTTAGAAGTAATCTGATGAATCAGTACACTCAGCATATAATGCTATCGGTGTTCGACGAGGGCGCCTAGATCGTGAGGAGTAAACTGAATTTTTTTGATTTATTAAATCGCAGTCAGGCGCTACCTACAGAGAGATCATACTAATCATAGAAACACACAATTCAACGATAACTTACGACATAGTTGGCAAAAGGATCCTTCATCATCTTAAAGATGCCATCCTTCGTGGCGCAGACCTCTTCCATGAGAACCGTTCGCTCGAGGGATGAGCCGTGCGTGACACACTTTTCCATAACGTTTGATGCGTATTTGTGGCACGAAAGTGCGACGACATTGCCACGAATAGCCTGAATAATGGCCGATTTATCCTTCGGCAGGCCGTGTTGCAGAATATACTGGATAACGTAGTTGCCATACTGGTCTTGAGCCAGGTCGAGCGTATTTCCATGGATCTCCTGCAGGATGGGTATCGATTGCTCGAATTTGCAGTACTCCAGCAAGCGTTGGATCACACGACAGGCGTAACTGTGCGAACATAATTGTCGCACCTTACCGATGCATTCATCAACGATGAATTGCAGATATCTATTTCACAAAACAAATGAAACAAACATATCTAAAATAGGCTGGAAATGCTATAGAGATGATACGAGTTTTTTTCACCGGTACCCATTTGTACTTTTAGTCTGTGGCATATCCAGTCAACCGTGTCGCTGCCTAATAATCGTGTTATACGGGTATCTGAACAAACGGCGTTGATAATTAACGAAAAATTTAAGAACGTTATATCGACTCCATTATAATTACGGTGGCTATAGGAGATTTCTTATATCGTCCGTGACTTACCCTGGCTCAATCGTCTCGAAGCACTTCTGCATGACGTGGTTGCCATTTTCGTCATTAGCGCAATGTACCACATGGCCTCGGAGTTCATCGATGAGCTTCTTGCGAATTTCGGGCGGCAGTGAAACGAGAGCCTTCTGCATCACCCGGCAACCGTAAATGTGCATCGTCAGATTAACAATATGCCCAGTCATCTTTCCAGCCAGGGCCAGCTTCTGTTCTTCCGAGCCAAAATCGAACAGTTTCTGTACGACATAATTGCCGAACTCATGCGTCATTAACGAATACACCCAAGTGAAGATCTCGTTGAAGATCATCTGCTTTTCCGTCGGAGTAGCTGACTCCAGTTTGTGTTGAATGAATCTAGACCCTACCAATCGACGAACGTACCGAACTTAGAATATATTTCTTTATAGTGCTTAGGCAGTCCATCAAACGACGATCGCTTACTGCTTTGATTTTTGTTCAATACGTACACACACACATACATATATATATATATAAAGTAAAAAATGTCTTCAGTATGTTTCTTTATTTTAGCATTTGCAAGACTCAGGGAAGATAAACCTTCAATATGGCTTGTTGTCCTGGGTTGCTACTGCGTGCGGTGAGTCAATTCAGTGGGGCCTTACCCTGCTGGTCTTGGGCGAACTCAATGACGTGTCCGCAGAGGTCCCTAAGCTCGAGATCGGGATATCTGTTGCTTTTGAACTCTTTGATAAGTTTTGTCTCGTTCTTCTTCTTGGTGACTGACACTTTCGGTGAAGTTAATCGGCTGCCGGGAGAGGGCCACCCGCTAACGCCACCCATTCCGCCAGCGCCGGCCATTCCTGGGCTCATTCCTGGGCCACGACTCCTAAAAGACGACCCATTGTCAGTCAAAACGGAGGGAAACTAAAGACAACTAGTCGAAGTAGCACAGAGACAGATATTGAGCGTAGAAAGCATTGGAAATTCTCATGAAAAGCGGTTCTAATTGCGCTGTCACATTGCTGAATGTTTCACGGGGTGACTATAGCGCCGTCAGCGAAACATTTTTACTAAACTTTTCGAGCGCATCAGCTCTACGAAAAACTTGGAAAAAAGGAAAAGGAAGAGATTGATCTATCTAACTACAAATAATGCTAGCTATCACTAAATAGACGTAAATTAATAAAAATACCTATATATACATTTTTTTTTAAATGTTTCTTTCACTATAGTCGAGAAACATGAAACACCTCGTTAAACCTTTACTGCTAATTTCACGTACACACAAGCAGAAACTCACCGCATATCATAGAAGTTGTTTTGTTGCTGAGGCATCGTAGATGGCGGTGCCCACCCAAACCTCATCGGCGAGTCGGGCGGAGGGGGCAAGTAATTGCCGTGTGGTGGGGGGTACATGCTGTACGGGGGAGTGTGCATGCCTGAAATAATACATGGTTGTATTTGACAACATATCAAACAATGACTGTCGGTATGCTGGCATATCGAATGAAGCACACGTTACTGTTGAATAATTTGCTGGACATTAACGAGATTTGCATTTAAGTTCTTGAGATTAGATACATTATAACTTGTATTCAAGGGTGGCGTAAATCGGTTTTATCGATTTTTGGACCTATAGGACACGAATACTAGCTGTCATTCTTTCTTTATGTTTTGAATTTTTACGTCCGGCATCGCCGCTCGCCATTTCATCCCTTAAGTTCTGGTTGGTTAAGAGAGAACGTCCTACAACATAACCATGGTGGCCAAGATAAGATAATAAGATGTGCAAGAACAATGCCTGCTATTCTATCGATCGGCCAATCGGCGCGCTTCAAGACCTGCGCCGGTTACACTGTAGTGATAGTGAAATGTAAATCCGATTAATGATCACTACGAAAGGCAAAACTATCTTATTTCTATATGATTATAGCATACGCGCATATAACAGCTTCATCTTTTAACGAATTATTCTAATGGAATAACTGAATATATATAATTTTCTCACACAATTATCTAGTAGGCAGCGTAACTGCGATAAGATCGTAAACCTAGAACGAAAATTGTCTATCCATAAATGAATCCATCGCAGTGGCTCTTGGTTTATCATTTCTACGATGCAAACGCTCAGATTTTTCTCTCTGCTTCTTTCTCAGATCGCCCCCAAGCCCCCAACGTTCCTTGGACCGGGCGTCCATTGCCAAAACGAGCCCACCGGAGTGTATTGTGAGGACTGAGCCTATCGTAGCGTCGTTGACCTAATGCTGCTGCTAATGCTGACCGAATGATATCTCTTCCGTTGAAACGTCGTTGACTGCCATCGTCATATGGACGGAACCAAGTGCGAAGGAGCGAAGGTTAGATGATGCTAACCACAACGCCGATGATGGCGACAACGGCGCGGCCTGAACGAACGCAACGCCTCTGATCGCTTACTAAGTCCTGCCATATACACTAATTACATTGACGTCCGACCGTCTAGTCTGCTTCATTGGCAGCCATCACAAGATGATTCTTTGTACTTGGTAAATCTCTGCCTAGATTCAGTGACTCGGACAAAATGACTTACAGACAGATGCTCTATATATTATTGACCAGACATCACAGACAATCAGTTCATAAATACGATCACACCCAAATACTCGATGCTCTCCTAATAATGCCTGAGACGATGCTAGAGACTCGATTCGGGAATGGTCATCGTTGAGGTCGGGCTCGTACGAGACATAACCACCCCGTACCGTAAAACGAACGGTTCGACTTCGGTTCTTTTTTCATATATCCATAGCTGCTAATTATTGAAATTGACTGCGTGTACAATTCGAACGCGTACAATTTAGAAAACACCGGAATGGTAAGTTTTTCTCCTTTAGCTTCAGTATATTGACAATGCAGATATGCTACTGTACTTTGGATAAACATGTCGATGATAAGCAAAAGATGCAATTTACTCTCGCCCGCCATGTTTACAATCACCGCAATGCTACCAATTTGCGCTCACAACGTTTGTTAAGGGCCTGATCAAGAAATAGACTATGACGAAACTCCTCCTACATCGTCTGTCTATTCTTAGTTTTCAAGCACAGACAACAAGGGTGTTTAGCCATTTTCTTTTTGTCTCACACATCTAACGAGATCTAACATGAGAAAAACTCCCTCACGAAGGATACACCAGGAGACGGCAGTAGCCATCATTATGGTTCAACTCGCCAGATATGCAGAGAGCATATTGTATTGGAAACTCTCATTACCTCAGCATACTGCAACGAGAACGTATCGTACAACTATTTCACTTAGACTGCCTAGATTGCAGCATGTAGCATTGATCTCATCGACTCAAGTTGATTGAAAAACTAACCATACAATATATGTGCGTTCTGAACCTTCCATATTGTCATATACTATAATAAATAGAATGGTAAACGTAGCCGGAGAAATCATTCTAATCTGATACGTAAGTTTATAAAAACAACAAGGTAACAAATATATTTTGAGGTCAAAAGATGCTGCCAAGAAGCAAATATCAGTCTGAATGCGTAAATACTCAGCCGAGACAGACGGAATTCGATAACTGCTCATTCAATCACGATGACAGCAGCAAAGTATTACAAGCCGCCCCATCTGCAATCTACAGTATTAAACTTCACCTGATCCATGTATTTGGCATTAAGACACAACCCATTTTCGTCATCAGACTCTTTCGCCAAATACGGTTCCTAGCACAAACACGTGTCTACGTTAAGCGGTAAGAGCTTTGGCTCTTACCAGACGTGATTCCATACACGTCGCCATTGCCCCTTTGCAAAGATCTGTGCTGATCAGACTAACATTATACCGCACTAATTTGGTACCCTAATACGCGCGGAAAGGCCCACACATGCAGAGATCGGAAACCCTGTCGTGCCACCTCCCTTCCAATGGCCGAGAGAAAGATGGCCTTGCAAATCTAAGCTCATCCAGTTCCACTATCTACAAGTACTCCCTTCTGCGAGCAGCCACCATTGCCGCTCACGCACGCAGACACTTGCGAAAGGACATACGCCCAACACTATTGTATTCACGTGACGTCTGGATGACCTGTGTTTCAACGGGACGTAGTACTTGGGTTCGTCCTGGGCAACGTCAACTGTCTTGGGCATTCGATTTCCTGACAACGCGTCGACATAGCTGAAGTTTAATGCTGCCGGCTATGTAGTGGCCAAAAACGCTTTTGTCGAATGGGTCGACTTGCTTGGTTCCTGGTACTTGTTTCGCATTGTAACCAGGATTGCCGTAGAGCCGCATTAAACCCATATGAAAAATGTATTCATCTCAACTACTTAGAGAGCAATGGCTTTCTTCTACCTTAAGCTAGAATCACCAGTAGCGAGACCGATCCGACATCGAGCTATTGTCGCCCTGAGGTCATAACGAAGTGCGTCGTCCTTAGGACGATTAAATTTGACAATTGAAATAAGCTGGCAACGAATAGTTGTGTATCTGAGAAGCTTCGCCTTGCATATAATAAAGCTGTAATACATATATAATATTCATACATGCCATAAGCGGGTTGGTTAAACGTTTGAAGAAAAGCTTTTTATATTACGTTACGCGTATAAGTAGTACGCGCTTAAGAACCGGACCAAACGTGCCCTGTTCGTTACCTGAGCGACTTCTGAAATACGCTGTTCTAGGAATGATGAATTTTGCCTATAAAGGACTAAGAGCAAACGACGTGACCCGGACTAACAAATAGGTACCACCGCAAACTATACAAGCGACTTCTAGAACAAGGGCAGGCCGCAGCAAACACGGTGGGCGCGTGTAAACGTACAGGACTTTAAACACCAAAGAGCTTTCTGAAAACACCTCCAGAGACCGGTGCAAATTAATATTAGTTAGGTCTTTAATGTCGTATTTATACAATCACGTCCAGGCAGCTACACGGTGTGATACAATAGGACGGGCAGTATAACACCTAGCGTTGAAATGTGCTTTGTTACACGAACGTATAAGCACAGAACAATTGCGTTATCAGGCTACTGCACGTGCTCCGTAGATGTTTACTTTTCAAAACATCATCATACGCCATATTTTGCCATAATTCAGAGATTGATTATTATCATTGCTAGCATTAAGTGGTGCTACTCTACTGTAGAAATGCCGTAAGCTTGTTAAGGGAAACATTTGCTCATACCATATTTTAGCGCAGATTAACGTAATTTCACCGATACCCCCTAAACCCACAAATAGTCCAGCTTATTTCGTCACGCATATTTGCCTACAACGCTAAAATAATAACGTTTTTTCTATTCATTTCGCTTCGGCTCCAGCTAACTTTACTCCCAGCTAACGCTGTTTAACTGATGGCTGGGGCATTCTATTTATCAGACGTTGTTTCGCGCCCGTCGATATGATATACCTGGGTTGGATTTGATATTACCCGATGTACGCAGTTGCTCCTATGCAAGTACCGGTGCAAAATGACCGTTGCGGCGTTAAACGCGAAGTTTTATTACTGACCGAGAGGTCAGCATGGAAACAGACGAAATTGGTCCCCGCTGTTCTCAGTTAATCGAGATTAGCCCAAACAAAACAACCTATAAGGCCGCGTAGTCTGCTGGCCGCCATGATCGGACGGTCCATAAGTCAATGTACCTGGGACAGACAGCAGCGTCAGCCGCGACATCAAGGAACATTTTATATACAAATAGTAGCAGAACAACCTACGGAAACGTGAATAATCTTTGCGTTAGGATTTAACGACAATCTGCTGTACGTAAACTAGCTTGTTGACCAAAGATAAGAGATATCGTAGGGACCAGTTTTGAAGACGTTCCATCTTTAAGCAGCTCAAATTTGGAAGAGTCATGTTGAAGCAGCAAGAAACACAGGACCCCGAAAGTGGAGCCTTTTTGTCGCGTCGGCTCACCACGTCGTGGAGTAGATCAACTGTATTTCCGCCGAAACCATTAGTTCAACGATGTTTAGGTATATAGAGTTGATACTAATTTATCATACATGCAATCATATCGACGGTTGAAGACAGCGGGCATCTAGCGCACGTTACAAGTAATGCCCGTCACCCTTCCTATCTAGGGCGATTCTTCGAGCTCTATTGCTCGAGGTTACACCTCCAGATTAATACCTACGACACTTGCTTTTGTGACCACTGAGGAATCCGTTGAATCGCATCGAATTTCTCCAATCTATCCAGTTTTACTGAAAGATACTCTTTGTTTTCCTTTTCTTGCTTGCTTGCCTTTCTCTTCTAATAAGTACCTTAATGATGTGACGTCTTCCTCCAGGGCTAGGCATTGCCTTCAGTCGGAGTTCGCGATACTACTATCTGTCTGCTTCTCAAAGAAACAGACAGACTGCTAACTGAACCTACGTTTCTCTCTGTGTCCCGTAAGAACAGAGGCGATTACGCAATTGCCTTCGGTCGTTGATTGAGTCGGCCATTTTTCTACCAATAACGGTTCGATCACATGCAGAGCTTTTTATGACATCTTTAATGTTTGTTTTCTGCGTATTACATGTATAAATTGTTGTTTGATTACGGTTCGTTACTTATTGGTGGTAAAGTTAATTATTAAAGATACAATAATAATAATAATAATAATAATAAAGATAAATAATTAAAGAGAGTTGAGGCATTGCTCGCAGTGAGCGTGGTTATTACTGTATCTAATTGTATCGCTTTAAGGGCGTGCAATAAAAACATGTAACGCAGTATAATAAGCGCGCTCCGACGAAATGCTAAAAAAAAGTTATCGCTTACCATTAGCATGATGCGGGGGGCCATGTGGGTGAGGTGGGGGTGGTGTCATCGTCGCGAAGTAGTTACTTAGAATGTTGGCGATATACGCATTCTGCATAGGACCAGTGCCTTGTTGGCCAGCACCTCCAGGCGGTCCAGGTGGTCCGGGTGGTCCTTGTGGTGTATGAGTCATACTCTGTCCACCTACGGGGGTTGCGGTTCCTTGCCGCCCATTCGGATGGCCCTCACCGTACAGGTAATTACTGTGCTGTGACGTCTGGCCATTAGCGACTGCACACTGATTGGCGGCCTGCTGGATTGCAGACGCCAGGGAGAACTCATCCGTCTGTAAGCTCAATGGACAATCCTTGGGAGGTGTGCCTGTAAAGTGGAAGAATGACGAAAAGACAACGACAGAACGGTAGTCGAAAGAAAAACACCATTGCCGAATAGGCCGGCAATAAGCACTGTGTTAGAAATATTAAATGAGTAAAGGGTAAACACCAACGTAGGAAAACACAGTAACATGTCTATTCAAGGAGAGCAAGGATCATAAGAGCAGTTATACCTCAATAGTTTTATGCGACGACCTCTGTCACTACCTCACATCATTGAAGATTTGTTCATTTATGAATTCGAAACAAGGAGGCAACCTCACATTATCTGGGTAGCTATTGTGCATCTGTCTTAGTGCGTTACCATGATAATCATAAACATGCAAGTATCGCTAGTTCAAATTCCAGCGTTGGCAAATGCTTTCTATGGCATATTGCTACCGTCCCGTTTCATATATTCGTTGGAGATAAATCCAGCAAGACTTCTTTGAAGTAAAGCTTAACCGTTTAGGTACGAGACTTTAAATAACTTAATATCTAGGCATTCCAAACACTACATGGCGAATCGCTGCGTTTGGCCTGTTTAAAAAATTGGCCATTAGCTCTATGGTAATTAATACTGATCATAAAAATATCTATATATTATGGATATGTAGTAGGTAGTCCTCCGCTGTCCTATACGCAGACATAAATAGCAAGTCTCCACCAAGGTATCGTTGAATGATCGATCATTCCATTATAGCTTTCTATAAAAACGGACTACGTGTAATTGTGTAAAATCAAGTGATTTTTTAATGGTTCCATCCGCTTGTTATTGCATAGGTTGATCTTAGATTGTAGGAGAGTTAATTACAGATTCTACACTGCTGAATACGTAAACGTCTAGTAATAAACAAAGGCATGCCTATGAACTCGGGAAAACATCAACCTGCAACTTTCTTAGTAGTAGAGTTCTGAATATAAAGAATGCGGTATATCTGCAAATAGTTTAGCAACAACCATTGGCTTTTGGTTCATACGCGGCTAAAAGAAAACGCTAAAAGAATGGTGCACTGTATGACACAAGAGGGACCTTTATAACACTTATAAACGGAAAAAAACAGTCGTACATATATATCCTCCTATAATCTGCGTATCTACAAAAATATCTACATATGATAGAGTCAATTTTCTCTTTTAGGACGATATCCGAGGTAGATACACTAGGAAACGTCCATTCTGAATCTAACGTCTCCTTTTTTACAAGCACAAAACAGCTCAATTGACGTCCAGTGGTTAGAGATACTGTATTTGATGGTTGACTTCCTGCACAGTGCTATCAGCCCCTCAAGCTATATTTTTATTTTTATGTTACTTTTTTTCTTATATAAATTCAACAGCTATCCCACAGTTCTTTAGCAGGGTCAAAGAAGTATTTTACGATTTTTAGAACCGCTCAGTCATTCTCCAAGCCCTAATCATAGTGGCGGACAGAGATGAATGCTCGGTTTTAATGGCAAGATAAGTGACACGGTTAGACATTCAGACGACACAGCTCATGGTTCCATCCTCTATGCGATCCTCTTAACTGAATCGCGTTATGGGTTGCTCCCGTTCAGCAATCGCTTGTAACGCACCAGCCGCTAAACGGGACAAAGGTCTAATTTTAGTTGTTGCCCTATTCAGCATACGGGTCGCTCTTCGCCTGTTGATTTCAGAACGTGTGTGTTCGGCAAACCGGGCACTATTCTACATAGGGATATAGACAGTGCCGCTTTACATGGCCATAAATAGGCTAGTGGACTAATAGACGAAGTAATCACAATAGGACATTGTAGAAACGCTTGCCATTGTCAATATATTATATCATAGGCAGATGTTAAGCATCGATAATTTAGATCACCTTCGACCTCACTAAATTGTAAACGTTTTACTGAAGTTCTTTCTGAGTTTGAAAACCAAGAGAAGTCGTTAACTGCCAAAGTCAGATGACATTTTCACATTAGAACAATATTTTTGGCACTAGAAAGCACCACCGCATACACAAAAGTACGGTCTGTAACCTGCTCTATTATAAATGAATCCATTAAAATTATGCATAAAATTAGCGAAAATGTCACTATAATAATGGGTTCGATTGACAACGCAACAACCTAATCAGTTGTAGACAAGCAAAAAACACACGACAAGGAAATCTAAGTTTCCGAAGATCGAATTGTTCCTAACTTACCAGGAATAAAAATGTCAGGGTCGAATATAGCCATAATCTCCCCCAACGAACGTCAAATATGACGAAAAATTAAGATCGAATATCTTTGTGTACGGTTGCGTGCAGAGATGTTGTATCTATGACGATGACTGTTCAACTAACGAGTTATTGAAATTGAAAAAATTAATTTAAAAAGAAGGTGACTTTTGTTCAAAGTTACTCCTAAGAGTAGATTGGAAGCAAGCATTATTAGCCGAGTCGATGAACTTACAGAACGCCAAACACAAATTCTTAATTTTCCTCATTCTTAGTGGGCCTTATGAGGGTAACGCTTAATATCGTCGTTTCTAGATGAGTACAGATGCCTGTTTCGTAAACTTGTTAGCCTCTATCACACAAGAATTGAGGTTAGAAAACCATTCAGCTGCTTGCGCAATGACCGCACCATCGCCTCTATCTGTTATCAGCTTGACCTTTAGAGACATGCTGCCGATCTGTATCACATCTACGCATCGGCGATATGGTTGAATATAGCTTATCAGCTGATCGTCGCATGTAAACAAATCGTGGATTGAAACATCAATCCTGAGAAGATCTCAACCAGTGAATTTGCACACTAAGGCCATTAAAGGTCAAAGAGGATTTCATAGAAGAGCAATAGGATGAGCTCATTGCCTCGACACAGCCTCTACGGTGGGTCGCGGTAATCACTACAACAGCTAATGGTAACAGACTGCGAAATAACTACTATATTTATTTATAGAGAAACATAATATAGGATGGCGGATGGATTCACAAATAGGATATTGGGCGTTAAAGTAAATTACTTGAGATAGGTAACAGGACAAGTGATACCGGAGAATCAGGGAGGACGAGAATCAGCGAGCAACAAGCGGCGTCCAACAGGTTAGACTGAATAAAACTTAAGGTTTGGGTTAATTATTAACGCTGGCCCATTTACCGTTATAGATATCTGCACTACTAAGTGCAGAACGCGGTTCCTTCAAGACGAAGCACGGCAATAAAAACAAGCATGGGAATGGCAGGGTAAACGGTCTTGTTAGTGGGAGTAACGATGGCGGCCGGACTGGTACACTAGCGACAAAGCATATTTTATCGAGAGCTAAAACGTCTCAGTATAAAAATTCGTTGTTTAATCTTTTTTCAAGGTACGCTATTAGGACTACACCCACTTGTTCCTGTCGATACTCACACATTAACATGTAAAAGACACCCGCTCAATTTATTAGTAATATTATTGTTGTCATGTTGGCGATGATTATATGAAACATTAACTTGTTTTTATCTATCAGCCACTGAAAACCGTTAACTTTCAACTTAAACACGTTACCATTACTATTAATATGATCATTATAATTGTTGTTATTACTATATGCGTTGTCATGCACTTACGATAATAGTCCTTACTGCCGCCCGGGGTCGAAGCAAGCTGAACTAAGGCACTCCCACTGCCGCTAAGTGAGAGGGGTGTGGAGGGGGACGCTACAGAGGAAATTGATGGGGATGTACATGATGAGGGTGAGGATGAATTATTGTCTATTGCTGATGCTTGATGGTGTGGATGTGAAGGGCGATGCGAAGTAGCTACAACAGCAGCAGCAGCAGCAGCAGCAGCAGCAACAACACCATGGTGATGCAGCTGCTGGTGTTGTTGTTGTTGTTGTTGTTGCTGATGGTGGTGGTAGGAAGAAGGTGGCTGGGGTGGATGTGTTGGGGAAAGGTCGCTGCTGCTGCTGGCGCCACCGCCGCTATTGTTCATCGTGACGAAATCATGATGGTGGTTACTACTATGGTGATGAAAGAGCTGTTGCTGCTGGTGATTATAATGGTGGTGGTGATGGTGATGCGCGCTGTTAGTCAGAGAATGCGGATGGCCTATATGGGCATTGTTGTGACTCTCCAGGTGGACGACGACGCCCTGCTCTGATGGAACTGCAGTCGAGCAGCCGCTGCTGCTTGGAGAACAGCCACTGCTATTGAGACTATTGCTCCTGCTGATGCCGCCGCCGCCGCTGCTGCTACCGCTACTGTTGCTGAGTTCACTATCATGGCTAGTAGCAGTATTAGAAGGCATAGCTGCAGTAGTAGATATCTGACTGCCGTTGCTATTGGCTACCCACTCACCGAGCACGTATTCGGCCATTTTGACGCCAAGGCCGGGATCACCGAGTGAGTCCTGCTGATTGCCACTAGCATTTGGATGGCTACTGGGTAGGGCGTTGGGTACTGCTAACGGAGCTACGCCATGGTGGCCTGTGTGACCGCTACCGGGGTGCAATGGCGTCGACGGCGCCGTGTTCCACGTCGAGGACGTCAACGAAAGCGATTCAAGCTGGGTCTCGAGCGATACTCCGACTCCGCCGCCGCCGCCGCCGCCACCGCCACACTCTCTGCGCCCGGACATGTCCTGCAAATCAATAACAAGCAAAACCATATAAAAGCCAATCAGTCTGAACGTGTAATATTATATCTTTATAATAATTTATTAAAAGTGTGTCAAAATGTACTACACTTTTTTCAAGGATTATGTAAAACAACTGTCATCGCAATCTGCCTGGAGATCAATTTAGTAAACTTTTAGCCCCACTGCATGCCCCCTGACAATATTCTATCGTCGTTAGTGGCCATTAATTTCATACGAACAAGCGGTACATCTGGGAGGATTCAACAGGGACATTTGTTTTCATTCATATTACAATCTTTGTAGTGAAGTTTTCCTTTAGCGATATGTTGCGGTACACTTGCTGAGGACACCTGAGTTATCTTAGCAGTCTTCACGAGATTCTTCCGGCGCGATTCGACAAAGGGGATCCAGCTAGTCGTAGACTAATAGCCAATAAAAACATTTTCATCTCGAACAATCCATTGAGATCGAGCCCTCAGATGCGTTTGGGGTTGACTTTTCAATCAAGTTTCACATGGACGTATTTTAATCAATAGAAGGACTCTATACGGGTGTACCATTGAGATTTAGCTACAGTAAATGAAAATGTTACGATTTTTTCCCTCGAAATGATACGCGGAAATAAGACAGTCTAATTAACATATCGAATAGTGAGCATATTTCCCAAAAATTTTCCAGCCCTCATCTGCTTGGTAACAAATAAATTTTTGTACTGCAAATATATATATATGTATTTGTTTGAAATTGGGGTCGTATCGGCATGTACTCTATATATATATATATATATATACATACATATATATATATATGCACTGTATTTCACGCAACTGAATTAGAATGGACAACAAGTATGTTGACAGATAGTACACACATTGGAACAGAATAGAAGTAGGCGTAAAACGAAAAATCAGACAAAATACTGAAATCGTTTGTCATTGCCTCCATCAAGCAATAAATTACGAAGAACGCGAAGTTAGATTTTGCACGTTCATGATACATCCGAACGTTAACAAAAAAAAAAAAACAAAAAACGAGAAGGACATAATAAATAGGCGTAAATAGTAGAACTTTTGAGTGGATTTTGTGCGAAATCACAACCAAATACACCGCCGTTTAGCTCTAAAACGTTCAGTCTTCGACAGAACCATCTTACTAAAGTTGAGAAAAAAAATGAGCCTAACATTTTTCTACATTGAAATCCTTAGAAAGTTCCGTATCTTTCGGCAGATTTACTAAATGAATAATGTACGACGAAACCTGAAGCATTTTAAATTCGGAAAGGCCAGTTGCTGTTAGCGCTAATGACAGCAAATCCGGTAAAAGCATAAGCAGAATGTGATAATTAACCATGCTAGAGGTTGACTTTGCAGCTTTCATTCGCTCTTCTCGTCCCTCTAAAATCCTCATCTTGGACGTCGAGAACAACTTATGGTTCAGGAACAAATGACAAAATAAAAGTAGAAGAAATCACTAACACAGTACATCAGTAGATGCATACCGTCGCCCGCCGTCTGTGCACGTGTCCTCCTATAGCTACCCGGTTTCCATAACGTCAAAGCGAACCCCGTCAGCCGCAACAGCAATAGTGACAGCGATAACAGAAACAACAACGACACTCCGTTACCGCTTCTATAGCAGGCGCACAGCGCGGTGTTTACTGCCGAATGCTACGCGTATCGGGTTGCCGTCGTCACCATCGTCGTCACCGTCGTCGTCGTCGTCGTCGTCATCATTGTCGTAATCGTTATCAATGGCCGGCCGTTGTCTGACGATGGCAATACCCCATCAATCCAACCTTCCCGCCTTCGGTGTCGCACGCACACATTTGTGTAGACGCTTTTATTCCAAACGACAGTGACTTGAGATATCACCTGCTGTTGCAGCTATCGCCTAACGTCTCTGGCGGCACAGGCCCAACAGCCATAACAAAATGATTGCGATCGATGGAAAAGTTGGAACACATGATCTTTGTCTCTCTAGGTTTCTCACTGCTTGATTAATGTGACCCGCCGACAAGGGGGCAATGAGCCCCAGTTGGGATCCGGCTAAACCTTTAGATACATGCTTACTGGTCGGCCACAATACCAAGTACCATTAAGTTCACTCACAAACAAGTGTCATTCATGTTCTAGCCAGCAGCTACTGACAAAACGATAGAATGAAACTATGGCTGTAATGTTATCGTGAGGATGAGCAGTCCAGATGAGCTATCCTGATAAATTTGCTCGAATAAGGGACCGACACGGGGACGACGGCATGCAACGATTGTTAACAGAACCACGCAGAACTAAAGAGCGAATTGGTACGTATAGAAGAAGATGAAAACAGTCGCTGCGGTGGTCTGTATGCTATCGGGAACCACTTACAATTTACCACACCACTATTATTCACAGATATATTTCTGGTATTCGTCAACCTATCCGCCTATGGTAAGAGCGGGTAGGTATATAAGAGTGTGGACAAAAAATGAAAAATTCTGGTGAGAATTACCAGCCGGTGCTAGCAGTGTACGCTTATTGACAGACCGTCTGTAATAAAATTGCAAACGTTTTTTTTTTTTTTTTTTTTATTTCTGAGGAGCGGACCAGCGTTCTGCCAACGCAGATTTTCGTGAGGGTCTTTCCAAGTTTGTAGCAAGTTGAAGTAGGGACAGTCATTTTGCGAATGACTTCACAATAAGGACTCCAGTTGATCACGTCATGTTTCCCCACAAAAGAGCACATGAATGGAGAAAGGAACGTTCCAATTCCGCCTGTATTCCTGATTCGCTCATCAGGGCTTAACAGCGGTGCAACACTTGATGACCACTAGAGTACATGACCTTTATACTGCTTTTCCGTATCTACCAACTGTCATCAACAAACTATTATACAATTCGTATCGCACTCGTGTCAAATCACTGGAAATATCCTCGTATTCAACTAGAAAGTCAGGAAACGAGCGTTCCCTTTCGCCCGCTGTCAACAATGTTTCGTTGTCATAGACGCGGAACCTCTTAACTGCATAACAATCACAAGCACTGAAATTCCCTACCAATAATTTGCCTATCGTTGCCGTGGGAAAACAGATAAATGCCAATCCTTTCAATATGCTACGAAGAACGTTTGTTTTCATCAGATGTCGCCTGTTGATATCAAACGATTTTTGTGAGTATTGCCATAATTATTCGGAGAAGCACTATCCACCGTTCACGCCACGTCCTATTCCCCCCTCAGCCTTGGTTTAGTGGCACGTAAATATCGACATTTGCATCAACATCAACAGCAAACCGATCCGTTTATGGCGACGACAGCAGGATACGTCCTGCAAATCTTGAAACAGGAACCTATAGAATCGGCCGTTGCACAGTACACAACGGTGCAGCTATTACGATAATGCTATCTATCTGATTACTGTTGAATGTTCGTTTTTCTGTGGAGATATTTCGCAAAACCCTATTCTAATGTATGCTTTGGGCACTGCCCCAAAGCCCTATGAGAAACGGGCAACCAATAGAAAGACAACAACGCCTATACAAATACTTGACCTATGCAGCATTTGTCTATGTAATTAAACTGTCGTGTACTGTTTCGTACAGGTAAGTTGTCCATGGATGCGTCAATACTGTTGTAGTAGTGCCGGCAGCTGGAATCGTGTGATTCAAGGAGACAGGCTAAGAGGCTCTGTGGAAAGTTGTGCCGGTGACTGAGCCGAATGAACGGAAGTATGAAAACATAAGAAACGACTGAAACACAACCGCAGTGTTAGAGATTTCCAACATGTTCCGGTGTTCAGCGCCAATCAAATAAAAACACAGTATCTCATCTTTTCTAGTACCCTCTAAGCCGCTTGCAGCTCGCCATTTAATGGCAGGTATTGCCGGCACTGGCCACCTGCACAACCATGATCAGTACTGTACGTATATACATGTACGTCTATGCACGTACACGTACGTCTACGTATGGAATGAAGTTGACATGGGACGATCGCCAAGCAGCAACACCGCTCACGGCTATCGCTAGCAAAACCGATGGCTGTGTAAATACTACTGCTTCGGTCCTTTCTCATCAAGGAGCTGCTTGATGTTCATCTCAGTGATCATGAAGCTGAAAATGCTGATGTTGAAGATGTTACGGCTATATAACTGTAACTAATGATGCCGGCAAATGCGTATTAACTTCGAAATGTCGCAACGGAGGTAGGCGGTGACACCCCGATTGGCCTTGGCGACCCACCAATATAGCCCTCCGAAAAGATTAACTGATCATGTAACCGTCTTGGATTAGTCGTACTCTTTTTAAAAGGCCTAAACCATTGTACATAACGATTTCGGCCGCGCATTTCTTCACAGGGAATTACACCATAGAATGTATCTATCATCATCTATATGTATACATATACATTATAAAACCTACCATCTTTCTAGCTCTCTTCTGCAAAAACCTAGATTTCTGTTAGAGGGAATAACTACCTTCGGGTGATGGCGATTTTTTTTGAGTGGCTAGAGTAAGGAGAACGTGATGATACAGATCACGAATGTGATCATCGGTAAAAGTTACGGTACACTAACTAGGTAAACAGTAATTTAGATTTTTTTAGAACCACAATCTTTTATATAGCATGCAGACTTCAGTCAAAGAGCTCATAATGTGATACTTCAATATATCCTGGACTTCTACAAGTGCGGCGGCATCGTTTACGTTGTGCTGCTCTGTACAACGGCGGTGACCGAAATCACCATGTCCTGTTTTACTAGACGAAGAAACATATGTGCATTACTATATTATACTATACTATACTATATGCGCGTTTAAAAACGTCGCTTGTATAAGCAAGTAGTGACGAATCGACCTTAAAGGACGGCGATTAGGTGGTGACATTAAAACACGTCTATAGAATCTACAAATAAAGCGCTGACGGCCTACAGGTTAACCAGAATCTGCTTCCTTCGCGCAGCTTTGTTGAACAATCAAACAACATTATCAGCCATATGCAAGCTACGAAACGGCAAAGCAGTAATGAAG